AGCTTAGAATACACTAGACCATAGTATATGTCCAAGAGATGATGTCTCAAAAAATTTGATTTCATGGTTAGGAAGTCAAAAACCTAGCATTCAGTTTCGAGGTTAAACCAAACTTTACCGTCATATCTGGCCAATGTGTGGTGAAAAATAGACCAAAGTGAGGTGATACACACTTTTCAGTTGAAGTTACGTCAATATCATCTACTATGTTGCTTCAAATTATGATGTAATTATATNTAAATCGATTACAACATCACGGCTCTCGGCCGTTCACACACACAGACCCTACTTTTTAATATGGAACAGGTAGTTTGGGAAATTATTCAACCCACACGAGGGTGGCAATGACTGAATTTCATTTTTAATGCTAGATAGTATTGTGTCGAGCGCGCAGAGTTATTTTATTTTGATTTTCATTACAGTGGATCATGCGACATCTGAATGGTGTATGAAATCTTGTGGATCTGGGGAAATCTGGCAACACTGTCTTATGGAGATTTCCATGTTGGGACAAAAATTTGTAAAACGGAGCTTGGCTTTTTTCTCCAAATTTACATGGTATTTCCCATAAGGCGGTGTTGCCATTTGCCCCATGTTCTCTAAGCTATTCTACTAATGTCATATCACTTGGTTTCTGTTCTCCACCACCATGGACCATTAAGATCCCACCCTGTAACACCTCCACTCACAGGAAAAATGATATCACACCAAGTTTTATCCAAAAAACTCTCTAAAATAATCTCCAACTACAAGGAATACAATCACTTATACACAGATGCTTCGAAATCTTCTGATTGTGTAGGAGCAGCCGTCATTACAAGAGATACGGAACTTGCCTACTGTCTGCCGTCAATCTGTAGTGTTTATACAGGTGAATTATACGCCATAGATCAAGCCGTAGCACACTGTGAAAGACTGGAAGGCAACTATGTTATTATCACCGATTCTCTCAGCGCAATGTGATGGAATCAGACAGTTATACCCAAGGAATTCACTACTTGTCCGTATAAAGGAAAGGATATCCAAGCTAATACAGAATCAAAAATGTATTAAACTAATCTGCATACCTTCCCATACTGGAATGAGAGGCAATGAGAAAGCAGATGCAGTCGCTCGCAATGTTACTCCTTCCGCAACACTGTTTGAACAAATTTCCCACTCAGATCACTTTAAAATCATAAAAAAACTAATGAATGGAATCAAATAAATTACGTGATTTAAATCCCGACATGCGCTTCCAGAACTACCAATCAGCCCAACGAAGACATCAAGTCATTCTTCCTCGCCTCAGAATCGGACACACAAGACTAACACACCAACACTTCATGAAGAAAGAATTTGCTGCGGAGTGTGATATTTTTGGTGTGATCAACAGTGTGAAACACATTATCCTGGAGTGCCCAGTTTTTGAATATGAAAGACAAGAAGCAAGACTTCCCAGTGATCTCAATTCTGCCCTAGACGTGGCGAACTTGAATTCTTTAGTAACCTTTTTAAAATCATATTCATATATTACATAAAATATAATTATACCTAATTGTTCCTCCGCTAATAACCCTTCGCGGTTGATGCGGTTATTTTTGAAATAAATAGGAGCTATCCTGAGAAGAACTTTAGAATTATTGTTGGTGAGACAAACTGTTTGAAAACTTTCATCAATTTTTTCAGTATAAGAAAGTACATCAGAAACTTCACTTTTATGCAGAAGGCTATGGTGGCGTAATTTGCATCCTTTGAAGCCGCAGCGTTGTTTTGATCTACAAAAACCTCTTTGAATGACCAGTTTTCAAACAACAGAAGCAAATTTTGGTTTTGTATAATTTTGACCAACGAATATATATGCTATCATTTTTCAATATGGAACAATTATTGTAAATTTCATGACCAGTTTTATTACAGTAAAGACGTTTAGGGTCATCATTTGCTTGATTTGTAGCAACCAAGATATTTTCCGATCTTGAATTATTAATTTTTTTCTGATGGTAAGTTGTAGTAGGAAATGTTCTTTGACTTACATAACATGCAGCTAAAGATAATTCATTGGCCCAGATTCCAAAATCTTTCAAATTCACCTTACCTCCTTTTAGCACCATCTTCTGTCCCCATTGTAATTTCAGACTATTGGGTAATTTTCCTACCAACTGCTCCAGTAAAAACAGATTATTCAAATGATTACTTGCCTCAAATTGCTCCAATGTAGCCACCAGGTTATTGACGTGACATGAAAATTTAACAAAATTATTAAAATCGACATCTCTAACAAATTGCAAAGTCTGAGTTTTGTTTATCAAAGAACCAATGACGTATTCTGGACGACCAAAACGCATTTCTAATGTTTCAATAACATGAATAATATTTTTAGGGTGCAATAATAAACTCCTTACCTCTTCAAGCGCTTCTCTTTTCAGGCACCTCTGAAACATTAGCATCACTTCATCCTCTGAGTATTGATACATAACAGTTTTTCTATTAAATTGGCTGATGAATAACGGCCAGTCTTCTGGTTTGCCATCAAAAAAGGTAGTTCCTTAGCAATTGCATGGTTATTCGAACAATTTCCCCTTGTAACACTTCTAATGACATCGGCAACAACATGACATAATTTTGAAATGTAATTTTCCTGTGACATATTTGTGTTTTGAATTTTCGTTATTTCTGGTGATAAAGTAACAGAATGCACTTCACACTTATCGACCGATTCTTGTACTCTTCTGAACATGCTTTCTTTATCTGTACTCTCTACAAGCGATCTTTTCGAACTGATATCTCTTGTAGAGCATAACTCTTCCTCTTCAATTCTAGTTTCAGCTAACTGTTTCTGAAGATCCAGAATCCTCATTTGATTTTCGAATTCCTGCTTTTTCATTTCCCTCATTAGCTCAGTCCTCGCGACCTCAGTTTCCAACGCCAAACGCTTCCTTTCAATTTCTACCCTCTTTGAAGGTACCTTGGATTTATTTGATTTTCTTGCCGATTTTCTAGTAGAATCTGATACTTTTGATGGATACATTATTGATCCTGGATCTGTTCCATCCCTACTGCCAGTTCTATTAGATTGTACATGAAATTCGGAACCTTTCGGCTCTTCTATGGGAGCTGTTTGGACAATTTCCAGCTCCTGAGTTGCGTCTTCTTACTGATGCGAAGACATGAAGATATTTGATTCTGACTGAACAGTGTCATGAATACTTTGAATATTACTTTCTAATGCCAGCTGCCATCGAACATAATCATCAAAATTATTGGTTTTGCCAGCATTTTCCTCTGAGATCTCCTTCGATATTCAGACATGTTTCCTTTTAAGTACGTATTTGTGGACTGTATATACTATATTTTGATATCTAATCCGGTTAAAAGACCATGTAATTTCCTTAGAAACTTTATTTTTCAAGAAAATACCAAATTATACTTTTTGACGTCTATTGACCTTTTTTGACAATCAACAACAACTTTTTTATAAACATACTCATTCATAGCTACTTAACTGAATGGAACAAAAAATATTCTGAATGATACATGTTATATATAGCTACGATACAACATACATGAATTACATAAATTTCAAAGCAACAAATAAACAAAATATATAATCTGTAACACTCAAAGAGTTTCGATTTTAATTTTCGTGTTAATTTCAAGAATGTTTGTGTGAATATAATATAATATAATCTCATTGATAGAAAATATGATAATATACCTAAACTGAAACAATTTTCACTGACATAGAAATTGATTTGTATCTTGAATTATTGTTAATACGTATTTGATCTTGAAAACAGGAGCATACCTGATTTTCAGTTTTATTTAAGATAAATAGGCCAATGACTGGCAACTATCTTACTTTATGAGAAATACAATAACTCAACATATTCTATTCGAAAGGCAAATTTTCTGGCAGCAATATACACACCATGTTTCTAGATGGTAATGAGTCAGAAAATACATCCTGAGATGGCAACAAGGGAATCTTCATTGATCTCTGTCACAAAACCAATCAATAAACGTTTTTCATTCATTCATTTGTATGACTGTTGTCTTTTGTTCCACTCCCACATCTGATTGGAGGTATAACATTTTTTTTTGTTATTGAAGAAATATCTTCTAACTGAGGATAAACAAAAAAGGACTTAGTTGCTGTGGCGCAAAAATGTTACTTGTATTTTAATTATTTTTCCTACATAGACTATGCCTCTGAAGACTCGGAAAGAAATGGTGTGTTATAACTATGGGAAGATGGTCGATAGCCAAGCGGTTCGGCATGGGTGCTTTGTTCACTCACTCGAATTGACTGCCGTGTTGGTCGGTGGTTCAAGCCCTAGTCTGAACGATCGATCTTCACTTGCTATCGTCCAACCCGTGTTAGGAATCACACGTTAAAAGGTAAGACCTCGTTAATCCTNACAGATGATAATATTTGCTACGTTTTGATATAGAGTACTTTATTTGATCATTTTACATACTATATGTAGTATATTTATGGCAATTCATGAATACAGAAATCCTTTTTCGGAGTTACAAAGATAAAATTAATGCCAATGGTTCCTTTAGCTGCATTCAGGGATGCCTTTGGCTTCTTTTGGTTTCAGTTGCAGTCTTATGTCTACTTTTTTTTTTGACTTCACCAATTTTCTTGGTGGGGCTTTTGGATATCCAAATAATTGTCCTGGACTTTTAATATTTATGATGCACTGTTTGGAACCTTTGGTGTAGTAATGAATATTACTGGAGTTTTTTCCCAACACCAAATCGTTATTTTTAACACCTCGACACGTGTTNGTTTTAATAAAAGAATAAATAAAATTTTCAAGTGTTTTATTTTTATTCATATTGGTGTGGCACACTCAGAAGGTACCTTATTTTCAATGTACAAACTCCAAATAGAATGAATATAGGTTACAACTAACTTGGCTAACGGCTAACTGACAACTAAAATTTCAACTTGCTCTTCATACTATGATTTATTTGATATTTCTACATATAATAGGAAAAATATCATTACTCCAGAAGAGCATGCTTTTTTCCAAAATATTTGCACAATAATTCTCATCATAATTTACAATATAAATGTCTACTTCCTTTGATATTTCAAAATCATGATGTGCAACACAGAAAAGCCCTTTTTTTTTTTTAAATACATCTGCATTTGGATCCGAGCCATATATTTTGAGGATATAACATCTTTTGAAACATACCTACTCATGGCTTTCTCAGATGATGGACATTTGATTTTCAATACTCAATAATCAATACTCTCACCATCAGGAGATGTACCAAATACGGGATAATTAGGGTTCAAGATCAAACCACACCCATTAATTTTTAGTTTCATTTTTTTTTTTCGACTTCTTTCAATACTTTTTTCTCTAGCAAACGCCCTCTTTTCATCGCCTCTGTGTCCTTTAATTTAATTGCTCCCATTATACTTTCACATAAAGTGCCTTCGAAAACTTTGCAGTGTGCTGCTTCATGCATCTTCGAAGCAGTAATCCTAGCATACCGTAGCTCATGCCACAGCGGACAGTCATTCTGATCAATTGTAGCTAGATTAGCTTTATTGCAAGATGATGTGTCCATCATACTCCTGCAATAATTGATGAACTATGTGGCGTTAGCCGGTTTATTTGGTAGTGTATTTACTAAATGATGAAGGGATAATTTTTCTGCTCTGCTTTTTTCCTTGTAGTATTTCATGAGTTGACTTTCCATGTGACCGATGCTTTTGCTATGGTTTATTAGAGTTGGTAGAAGGCTTCGAGTATTGGCAGATGGAGCAGGTTTGGCTTTTGAACTACTACCTAACTCTTTAACTCTTATATACTTTAGGGTTGTGCCTATCGTGGATAATTTGGACTTCTTCCAGTAACAGTCGATACTAGTAGAGGGAGGGTCTTCGCTACACCTGTGCAGCCAAGCTATAAAAGCTATTGCATGCTTACATCCACCTGAAAATTAAAAATATATATAATAATTATATTTTATGGATAAAACATGATCACATTATGAAATCAGACTCTTATTTTTATGAAACAAAATGTGTAAGTTGCAACTTGTGTTAATACTCATTCGTGCCCTCTAAATACTTTACCACCAATCAATTATATGTACCTAAATGTGCTGCGCAATCTTCACATTCTGCAGAGACAATTCTCTGTTCAGCTTCATCACATAGTGCTGATACAAAGTAACACTTCTGTTTCACATTATGTTCGGGAGTAATACGAGCTTTCACTACACATATGTTTGCTTCCCTATTTACTGGAACATATCCAATAGCTGAATCGCCATAAGAACATCTTTCGGACCTAAAAACACAAATATTATCAGGTTAGAATAAGAAGTGATTGCAAACATTTTTCTTTAACAAATTTTTCACTGCATTATTTGAGGTTATGTACACTTTCTCAATGTTAGTAAGCAAATAACTAGAAAACTGAACGAAAAGCTGAAATTAAAGACACTTAATACACAATAATTATTCAAGTACCTTGCAGCTTTGACGCCTCTAATCTCATCTGAAGTGAAATCGGGATGGTTTTCGAAAAAACTTGTCATCATGAAGACATCTATTCTCAGCAAATTGTCAGATTGTGCCATGACAAGTCCGGCTTCAGTCATTGTATTTATTTTCTGGGACCTTCACAGTAATGATAAAATGATAATGGCCAAATAACTGCTTGCAAAACTCTAATTAGACGGACAAACAATAATAGAATACTACAGAACAGCATGTAAATAAATGTTGTTGACATGGACTTTGACGTCATCCTAAGATCCTACCAATCCCGTTGTGTTTTACCTAATTTGAATCTGTCTCGTAATTTTTACGTTTTCAATTATGAACTATTTAAAATTTATAAAGTATATAGTCATGTGAACCCATTTACATTGATTGATATGTTATTTGGAGTAGATTAAATTGTGCAAGAGAAGTTGAACAATTTGTAAAATATAGTCTACTGTACTTGTACTGTTTGGAATCTTTTAGATATAGATTTATTGATCCTTCAGGTGTACAAACAATTCAATACAGACAGGATAAATCAAGAATTACAAAATTGTTCAGTTGAAATTAAAAAAAAATGTCAGCAGTAGCAGAAATTTGGGAAGCTAACCTGGAATGCCATCGAAAATTAATCCACATGTTTCTAGAAATGATATGAAATTGAGAAAGTTGAATGCAGTCAAACTGCTGGAAAATAATTTCGGTGGCTCTTAAATTGAAATCAATATGAGTGTGATCAGAATAGTGCTTTCTCGATTTCATATAATTTCTAGAAACGTGGATTCGTTTTCCGATGACATTATGTCTGAGGACATTCTTGCCGCCATACCAACAACACCTATTCAGTTATGACCCATTTGTCCTTCTGGCAAACATCAGTTAAAAGGGGAAGGGAGCCAGGCTTCAACCTGAAGTAAATCAAGATGGATTTCGGCTTTCAACCTGATCAAAATCAAGATGGATTTCGGTCACATTTTTTCTGCAATCGAGGACCTCCTGCCCGGTACTGACGATGCCAATAGTCTGAAAAAGCCTATTGTTCGGATAGGTTTCCGCGGTCAGTAATTTGATATACTGTTGTTCGGGTTGAATTATTATTACAGATGCGTTTGAACCGCATCTGTAATTTTCATCGTTTTGACGTTTCGGTTCCTGCCTTGTCCAGTACGAACTTATGGTGGAACACAGCAAGCATAGAGCTAGTAACAAGACTTGGGGACAAGGGAGATTACGACCTAGTCCTCGAGTCATATAAGTACAAATCTAAATGATTCTTGAAAATGGCTCCAAAGCAGGAGTCGAAACGATAAACGATGAAAATTACAAACAGATCGGATACATGTTCAATGAGTCACTGCAGTGAGGGCAGCCATATATTCTTTTATATAATAGTAAGCTTGCGTTGTCAAGAAGTCTTTCAAATATTTTTNTGGTTTGGGTTAAATAACTTGTCCTTTAAGAAGTAGTCCTAAAGTCTATTTTTTAGAATTGTCTCGAAGATCTTGCCAAGACTAGAGACAACTGAAATCGGTCGGTACTTACCAATTTCATTCTCATAAACTTTCTTGAAGATAGGGGTGACTCGAGATATTTTCAATTTGTCCGGGAATTTACCTTCTACAATAATGGAAGCATCGAAAAGATTTGTTAGAGGTTCAATCAAATCTGTTTCTGTTTCTTTTATAATTTTCGCATTGATGTCATAAATATAAAAAGAATTGGAGTTTTCTAGGTGAAGAATTACATTAGTTGTCTCCAAAGTTGTGATGGGTTATTAATGTCAAATACAAAAGGTGTATTAGAAATTGAGTTTGTTCTTGATATTTCTTCCGTTATTTTAGAACCAACATTTGCAAAGTATGAGTTGAATTCATTAGATGTAAATTTATTTTCTTTCATATTGGTAGGTTTTACTATTCATTTAGGATTTAATGAGTTTCCAGCTATCTCTGATTTTGTTGTTAGAATTTAGGATTGTTATCGTAACATTTTTTTTTTGCTGATATGACAATATGTAATCATTGATCCGGTAATTTTTATTTTTTCTTACCCAGATACCCCCAGAAGGAAAGTGCTCATGTATAGCAGTTTAGTAAAAAGCTCGTTTGTAGGATGTGCTGATTGTAGGATGAATCCTAGTTTACTTCCCCCAATTACTTTTTTAAATTTTTTAGACTTTCTTTACTAACATGTCTGATTTTAAGAGGTGTTTTCTTGACAGTAGCTGCACTCTTTAATTCAATAAACTGGTCATAATGATTAGATAGAAATGCATCAGATACTCCAGTTTCATAATGCCGTTTTCTTGTAAGATTAGTGATGATGTTATCTAAGCAACTACCTGTACCGTTTACAACCCTGGTGTTTTCAAAGATAGTTGCTTCTAGACCAAAAGAATTAGCAGTAGATGAAGTTTTGACAAGTTTGAAGACGGTACCAAAAAGTCAATGTTAAAGTCACTCGAGATGATAATGTTTGTGAATTTATCAGAGAGGTTATTTAAGGGATTTTCAAGTTTATTCAAGAACAGATCGCAATTTGTGACGCACGCGGATCTATATATTGTAATTATGGTAATGTGCATATTTACTATTTTAAGTCCACAGACTTCAATATCTCTTTCAATGCTGAAATTGTTCAATGGTAATAGCTTTACCTCTATGTTGGCATTTCTAGTATATTTGGCTGCCACACCGTGCATGTTTTTTTGCCTACTGTAATGTGAGATAAGGTTGTAGTTGGGGATTTTACATAATTGGAGACATTGCTCGTCTAACCAGTGTTCAATCAGGCATAGTATATCAGGCATAGTATATCATAATTGTGTTCGTTCAAAAAAACATCAAGTCTGTCTATTTTATTCACTAGTGCGCAAATATTTAAATGATAAAATGCTTATGTTTTGAATATTTTTACATATTTCCTTCTTCTTCAATGATAATTTCAATGTTTCTTGGGATTCAAGTAAATAATTTTTTTCTTCCTTTGTTTCAACCGAGGATCCATCTTCTCCATTCACAATTGTGGAAACCCCCTCTTTGCAAAAAACCTGGATACTATCGCGCCTGTTGGCCAACCAAATTTCTCGCCTCTATGCATTTTAAAAGTTTTCTATATTGATGATGACTTTCAGGGAATTTAAGTTGTGTTCCTCACATTGCACTTCAGGAAACGTTTTCTCTAGAATTTGCTTCACTAGTTCTGGTGCTGAGTGAGGTTTTAGTCGCGTGACATGTAGTGAGACGATTGTCTCTACTGTTTTATCCTCCTCGTTTCCACCTACTAGGTACTGGCGTTTCCATCTTTATCCTCCGCTTTTTTGCGTTGGACACCCGGTCTCTTCCTCTAATGTCATATTCTGGTCGGCCAGTAATTGAATTTCTGTTTCTTCACAGCTTCAAAGATCACTTGATTTATTTTATTCCTATGAAAAATGTGCTTATTTTTCTGGCCAGTATTTTTGACAGTAGTGATTGTCAGTATTGACGTTTCTCACGGACGTAGATGAAGTATGACCAGGTGCGTTCAATTTTTCTGCACTGATGTACGATTTCGTGGTCTGGTGCAAACTCTTAATTGTGGTTCAATGACTTGCTCAGTATCATTCTATGATTTGAATGTTTCATTGTCAGCGAGGTGCCACCAATCGGTTCTGTGTTTTATGGAGTTTTCGGTGTTGTTGATGATGTTGTATCTGTTTTTTATTGATTTTTTTTTCTGGCGGTTCATGGTATAGGATTGTACGGTTTTTTCGAAAGTTTCGATTTTCGTTTTTAAATACATTGCATTTTCTTGTAGTAACTTTTGTTATCCGCGAGGATCTTAAGGTGCGTATTTACCAAAAAAGTGAGCACGAGCGAATAAGAGTGAACGGACATTCTGCATCAATAATCGTCTGATGAGTACGGGCTAGCGAGCGAGCGAACGTATGCTTGTTCGCGTTCAGAAAAGATCGAGAAGAAGGCGGTACATCAAAAGGTGCTCGCACAAAGTACATGGATCAACTACGACTACGAACTTGAAGATATTCGCTCTGGTGTGGACGAGACATCAATATGTCGAGCAAACACGAGCGAACACGAGCAAACATACACGAATGCTCGCTCGTGCTCGCTTTTTTGGTGAATACGCACCTTACAATTTCTCATCTTGGCTCACCAATCGGTTCTGTGTTTTATGGAGTTTTCGGTTTTCATGTTGTTGATGATGTTGTATCTGTTTTTTGTTGTTTTTTTTCCGACGGTCCATGGTATAGGATTTTTAAATACATTGCATTTTCTTGTAGTAACTTTTGTTATCCACGAGGATCTCAAATTTCTCATCTTGCTCACGGAAAATTCTCTTCAGCAGGTTAATTTATTGTAATGATTGTTCACATCGGCTTGCGAGTTTGGTGACTTTGGGTACATGCCATTACTATGACCCGATTGATATTAAATTATATTATTTTGGTCACTGTAAGCTTTCTAAACCTCGTTAAAATAAAAAGTTATCTAAAGAATTTAGATGATGTAATTCATTTTATATAAAATTGAATTAGATCGTTTTTGTATTTGTATTTGATGTTGTCTATCAACCTGTGATTGTGGTGTTTTGAATATATTTTCAGGTCACGGCAAATCTGATATCTCCATTGAACTGAACATCCTAATAATAAACTTGAGGGAAATTTAACACTTGATCAATTTCTTCATTATTTCCGTCAAACAAAACCATCTTATAGAAGTTTTCAGAACTTTCAGGTAGTACCTGTAATATTCCGCAGTCAGCCCTTTTCGCCAGACCACAATTTAATAGAAAAAGTCGAGTTTCATGGAAATGTCTACTTTTAACAAGCAATTATTTAACGGGCAATGTTTGTCTGTTAGTTGGGGTGAAATCTTGCAATTATATTTCAATGCAGCTATAATCAATGGATTGAGCTAGAATATTGGTTTAGCTTGGATGACAATGCATGGTTAGATTGGTTAGCTGGGTAACGGTATTCTACATCTAACATAATGACGGACTAGTTTTTTCCTCCCAAGAGAGGAATCCGTGTGATATGGGTATCAAACGAAACGGTTTGCTGAAAATAATACGGAAAATAAAATTACTTCACTCTTAATTCAATATGACTAACTAGATGTTGGACTGTGTTTTTTAGCACTTCCATGATATGAATGTCCTATGAGAGCGTTCTAGGGAAAACTCAATATGGTAGAAAACAAGATGGCCTTTACACCAATTTCAAAAAGTTATAGCAAAGGTTAGGGATAGTTTGAACAAATTGAGCAATAACTGAAAGATAGAAAACAAACTGATAGTAAAATACATTTTTAAGCACAAGCTCTTATTTAACAGCTCTAATCAATTCCCGCAAAAAAGTTGTCACGAGATTA